CCCCTCCTTTTTTCTTTTTTATCAAACATTTATTTTTTCAAAGCTTCTACCCAAAATCAGCACTTTTGAAATAGGAAGTGAAATAGAGGGATATGAGGCATGGCTAGAATGGGTGATCTGTTTGAGCAAAAGACTTCATAGACATGTTTTTAATATATATCTGAGACCTATTGTCTAAAGATAGGATGATTGGTGCACTTTAATGTTGAGGAGAGTCCAGTCAGGGCATGAATGTGAGTGGTCAAACCACAGAGGTACAGTACAGGTCGGGAACTGTCAAAGGCTAATGGCACACAAAGTCACACCAGGTAAAGCCTGCTGAAAAATGTGAAATGTACCAAAACGAAATATCACTCCAAGCAGAGAATATTGGAAAAATGGAGCGATGCTGAGGGGAGGGCAAGTGGGACTGTGAGTGTGTGTGAGGGCAAGTGTGTAGGTGTGTATGAGTGAGTGAACACATAGAGGAGCTGATCCTATCAGACTCTTGTCAGGTCCTGTTGGGTTTTCTATATAAACCTGTGAGCAGGGAGACATTTGCTACACTTTTTTTTAACTCCCTTCTTGTCTATATGTCTCTCGCTCACACACACACACACTGTCAGTCTCTTCCTGTTTTCCTCTGTCTTCCAACATTTCCCCTTTTCTTACATCATTAGTCTTCCCATGTCTCTTCTTGCTCTTTCCCTGGAGCTCAGTGAGGATTTAGGCCTCCTCTCCTCCTAGACTCACCTACATCCTTTCATCCTGTTCCCTCCTCCTCTCCTCCTCTCTTCCTCATTTTCTTCTCTCTTCTCTCCCTCCTTGCTTAACCTGCTTCCTGAGTCCAAAAAAATGAACCCACACACACAAGCAAACACACGCTGACACATTACACACTGCACATGCACACAAAATCAAGCCCCAACCGATCTGCAGCCAGCAGCACATCATCTAATCCTTATGCTTGGGAAGGAGGGGGACCTTGCAATCATTCCTGCTCTCTTTCTGCCCAACCTTTCATTTTATTTTTTCTTCTTCAATCATTTCCTCCATCCTTTAGTGCACCCCTCTGGTGTTGCTTTTTGAGGACGCACTTTCCTCTTTTTGAACCTTTCTTGTTTAGTCCAGTGGTTGTCACTCATGTGCCACGAAGACACAGGCACACTGACATTCAAAGCACGAAAGCCAATTTCACTCATCGGCACACCTTCTGTTATAAAAAAGAAAAAGTGAAATAAGCTGGTGTAGTATTTGGTTGGGATGAAAACCTGAAGCCTGTTAGCTGAGTGTGACACATGATGACTGAAAAGCCACTGGTGTTGATCTGCGCTGGACGCTGCTGCCGCCCTGTGGCCGCCCGCCTGAACCGCACCCCCTCCTCTGTAATGACCGTTTGATTTGTTTTAAAGGGTTTGCATCACGACCCTCCCACACACACACACACACACACACACACACACACACACACACACACACACACACACACATACACACCACAACCACCACCTCTACACCCCCTCTTCATCCATCCAACCCCCCAACCACAACCCCTCCTCTTTAGGTTGGATAAATATTGCTGGAAGATATATAACGTGTTGCTATGGTGATCAGCTCATGGTTTGGTTTTTTTCATGGCATTTGTGGAAGACAGGGACATGCTGGAGCGCAGGGATCGTGTGTGTGTGTGTGTGTGTGTGTGTGTGTGTGTGTGTGTGTGTGTGTGTGTGTGTGTGTGTGGTGTGTGTGTGTGTGTGTGTGTGTGTGTGTGTGTGTGTGTGTGTGTGTGTGTGTGTGTGTGTGTGTGTGTGTGTGTGTGTGTGTGTGTGTGTGTGTGTGTGTGTGTGTGTGTGGGCTTGATCATTAGGGAGCCTTCAATGGCAGACAGCTTGCGATCAATGAAGCACTAGTTATCCCTCGTGTGCATGTGTGGATGTGCGACGACGTACACAGCCTAAAAACAATGGGTAATGTTAATTGCTGCACCAGCTTGCACTAATTGATGGAGAATAGCATGCTTATACACTCACATACACACAAACAAGTTAGCACATGCACATAAACAGAAGCCAATCAGGCAGACTGAGAATGAGTCCCCAGAGAGATAGCAGCCGGAGAGCAGGGGTGGAGGTGGGAGATGGAGAGGTGGGGGGGGGGTAGGAGGAGGAGAGGTTAAACACCCCCCAGAGATGGGTGCTAGTCAGGGCTCTTCGTGCACACAGGCTACGGTGCGGTGAAAACACAAGGTCTGAGAGATTGTCTCCTATTTCTGGGTCTGCTATGTTTTTGTGAATGTTTCTCCTCTTCAAAAGGAGACCCCATCTTCTCCCCTCCCTCCATTCTCTCACACACACACAGACACACAATTGCTATGACGGAATGGACGTGTGTGTGTGTGTGTGTGTGTGTGTGTGTGTGTGTGTGTGTGTGTGTGTGTGTGTGTGTGTGTGTGTGTGTGTGTGTGTGTGTGTGTGTGTGTGTGTGTGTGTGTGTGTGTGTGTGTGTGTGTGTGTGTGTGTGTGTGTGTGTGTGTGTGTGTGTGTGTGTGTGTGTGTGTGTGTAATGGTTCACAAGACACACCATCAACTCACTCTTTCAGACCAGACGGCATCCTAGAAGGCACCTATATGTGTGTGTTTAGGAGTGCGTGTGAGCTGATATACCAGTGCAGCCCAGATGGCCATCTTCGAGGGGTTTTCTGGAACATTCAGACACTTGTTGCTTCTTGTCATGTCTCTCTCTCTCTCTCTCTTCCTCACACACAGACACACACACATGCACAGTGCTTCTTTTGAAGTGTGAAACAGCTTGCGGTCAGCTCTGCTCCTCTTCCATGGTTCCATCAAATAGCAGCCTTTAGAGCCTTCAGATACATGATGAAACAAAAACAACCATGCAGTGTTAGCAGAGGAAAGCAGGAACAGATATTCATGCTGGATGTGGCAGAGAGGTGGTGCAGATATATGTCCTTCTCTGCTGTGATGGATTGGAAGATTGAGGAAATCAAAAAGTGGCGTTTACCCTAAAAGTTTCACCAAACATGCTGTTGACCTACAGTAGTAGCTTTCAAAACGGTGTCACCTCCTTTGTAACTGTATTTAGATGTGGAGGTTCTTTGATTCTGAGAAAAAAGAGAGCAGTGCATAGTTCCCACTGAGGTCAAACCAGCTGTCAGATCAGAGCTACACTTGCAGCCTGCAAAGACTTCTGCTTGAAAAGGAAAACATAATTTTTGGCTTTTTTTGTGGGACTGTACGAAAGCTAATTGAGGGCGAGTTGGGGGTCACAAAACATGGAGGCTTTTATAATTGTTCTTTTGGCTGAGGACTGCCTACATTTTTTGCAGAGCAGGATAGGGTGTCATTATTTCTTTTCACTATGCTCAGTTCATGTGCCAATTTCCTAATATAATTTCTTCTTTGCACATTGTTGGCTGAATTTCGGTTCCATTAAGATATTGAGGTTTTAAGTTGAGTTTAAAAATGTAAATGATTTGCCTCTTTTAGAAAAGAATAGTTTAAAAATACAGTAATATTATTTGTATATATTGAAGAGGACATTGTAAGGGCCTAAGAGAGACAATGTTCAGCCCCCCTCCCCACCCCAATAATCGTTTTCAGTCCAACATAAATCAGAAAGTTGCTTTTCATCAAGGAACAAAACTTGATTACTGTTTCTGCCAAAGGCCTTGAAAAATGGTTTCTGGTTAAATGTGTTATTTTCATATGAAATGCATGTAATGACAGACAGCTGGTTGATTTGTTAAAAACATTTTTGAATGAGAGGATACATTTAGCAAATGTTCAAATGAGTCAGACCCATGACTGTTGCCATTGTGAATCTTCAAAATAAAATGCCAACATATTTTGCAGGAATTCTGTGAGTTTGGATGTGCATGCATTGTATACAATTTGAGATTTGGACTGTCTGTCACTGGACAGTGAAAACTGCATTGGGTTATCAAAAAAATTGTTTATATATTGACATAACAATCCTGTTCCAAATCTGGTAAACTATTAAATAAAATGTGTATTAGTGCTGTAAAAAACAGTGTGATACGATCTGTGTAGGTGGAAACTGCCTATTTGGACAGATAGGTGAGGAAAGTGAAAAATGAATTGCTTAGGCCTGGTGAAAAGAATGGTGGTGCTAACCCATACACAATAGCATGTCCCTCGGCTCTGTTGAGTACTTTTTGACATGCTACTCACTAAACAGGAGTGAAAGCACAGAGGTCATATGCTGATATCCATGTCGCTCAAGGTCTGTTATAATCGTATTCATTCAAAGAGGTCTCTAATTAGTCCACAGTGTGACAACAAAAGCACACTAATGCATTGAGTCACCTCAAATGACAACTCACTCTTTTATCATTTGCTATGTGTCTTAGCATCCTTTATCTGTTGCAACAGTTTATATGTAACTCTGATATTTGTATTGCCTCCTAATTTGCTATAAAACATTTTTTGAGCAAAGTGTTTTAATGGAATTGAAATTATTAACATCTTGTTTGCATGTTCAATATTGTATTGTCAATTAATGTGGCTTTTCAGGTTCCAGTTAATGTGTCCAACAGCACAAGCGAAGCAGAACAACGTAGTCGCCCCCATGTGTTGGCAAAGCTGAACTGCACAATGATCTCAATGTTTTTGAAGATGTTGACAGCCTGCTTCACAAAACTCTGCCATACAGCAGTTACAATAACAAACTGATATACAGCCACTGTGCTCTCCTCCAGCAGATCCTTTAGTCGGCTGCCTGTGGCAATTGATACCGGAATAACTGAATATGAAGTGCTTTCAAGGGAAGAAAGAAATGATTAAGGAACAGAGAATAAACAAGGCAAGGCAATAGATAATAAATGAACAGGTTATTATTATGTTATTCATTTCATTTCACCTTTTTATCCTTTTCTTTAACCGATTAAAGATTATAGTGCACTGAAAAAACCGTATCTAGCAGATGGTGCTAAGAGTCAGAAAAACACTATTTAACAGTAAAAAAACTCAAACATAGGCAAATGCTTGTATTTTCTTTAATGTCAGAATTGTTATTGTACATGGACAACCCAATGGATTTGCACTTCTTTTTACAATATGTACCACATATAACAGCACCTACATGTTATTTACACACAGTACACAAGATTGTATCACAAAGCAGTTTGTGGAGTAAGCTAACCAAGTATCCCAAGCTTTTGCTGAACCATCACACCCAATAGCCCGTGAATAAGCTAAATTAAAATATCACAGCCATCGACCCAAACTAGTTCACAGGTCTCTGCCCCCTGTCCATTTATAAGTTTAAAGCTGAAATCACGAGTGTGGACTCTCTTGAATACAAGAGACAAAATGACAAAGCACAAGTTTATGTTCCTATCAAAGGGCCAAATGTTAACATAAAAAAGGTAAACTACAAGCTTTGAATCACTCTAAAGGCTCTTAATTTAAAATGCTTGAAGTGATTTGTATTTTGATGCTAAAATGGAAACAGCATATATTTGTAAACATGACAATACCTTTTAGCAACAGTGTGATTGAAAACTTGAAAATAAGAACGCAGGACATGGGTACTTGAGCAAACCTTTGTTAAAAATACACTCCAAATGTGAGCTAACTCTTGACAGTAAGGAGTCACAATCATCTGTGTAAATAGGACTAACCTGCTTTGTGATAAAACCCTGGTAGGGGCTGCAAAGAGCAACTAAAAAGGGAAAAGGGGTGAATTTACGCAAAACAGGATATTTCGGTCGAGTGGGTGCAGGATTTGCCAGAGCCCTGCATCCACAAGCACACATACAAACAGTCTCTCACTCTCTCTCACACACACTGTTGCACAACAACCAGAGATACTGTAGCAGCTTTCTCAAAGGCAAAGACAAGTACAACACAGTAAGTGGCAGTTCGGCTGTCAGATATGCAAACACACAAAGCAGCAGCAGAATGAGATACACACGCTGACAAGCATTTTGAAACCCCACAGCAAGGAGGTGGTTCAGCCCCCCGAGGAGCCCGGGATTAAGTCCAGTCAAGTTTGGCCAGCACTCCACAGAGGAGGAGGAAGTATGCTTGAAGAACGAGGGGAATAGAACTACAAACAGCAGGCAATAACCCGGTCCATCTGATTATAGGATACGAAGAACAAAGGAGCCCAGCCAAATAAACAATTTCTAAATGCAACATTCTGCAATTTAAGGATTTCAAGTGTGATGTGTGCTCACTTCTCTATCAGATCTACTGTGGGCAACCAATCAAACCGTAAAGAAAACAGAAAACTTCTATGGAGAGGATGTGACACGAGGGGTGAAAGAAAAGGGAAAAAATGTGAGGATTGGTAATAGGTAAGGTTCTTTATTTGTAGCATTGCAACTTAGATGAAAAGGAGGAAGATTTCAAAGGTTGGCCAAGGCATCAGTCCTCATCAGCTGTCCAATCGGCCACCAAGGAGAGGACAGAGGAGGGATTAGTGGTGTAGGAAAAGTTCAGAGCATCCTGTTACGTTTATGAGTAGGTGAGTCTGTGATGACATCACTACAGGGGGCAGGGCCTCGTTTGCGATTGGCTGTGGAATCCAAATGGAGCGCCATCTCCTCAGCGATGAAGGTGTTAAGGTCCACGTCGTGAAGACCATTCCTACGACGACTGAGTGACTGGGCAGGGTGAGTTGGAGATCCAGGAGGACCGGAACGCACAGAAATGCTTGCCATGGCACCACTAAGGCCTAGAATTAAAGAAAAAAAAAGGGAAGAAAATGTTAATATCAATGAATTGCATGAACTTGAGAGTCTCATTCTAGTAACTTAAAACTTAGTAACTTAAAAGCTTTCTGCTGAACTTGTTGACCTACCATGCAATGCTATGGCCTCTCTGAAAGGCTGCAGGTCTGTCTCCACAGAACTGCCCGTCTCTGGGGGCGACGGTCTGCTTGAAGACACCATCGCAACTCTCGGCGGGGCGCGAGCTGTCCGTGGAGGTGGAACTTTGCCACACAGGAAGCTGATGAGGTCTTCACGTCTGATAGTTCTTCTGCGTTTCTTAACCCATGCAATCACATCCTTATTCCTGCGCTGGTGGCCCAAGTGGATGCCCAGGTCATAGCTCCGTTGGCGGGCCTCCATACTCTCTGATGACACAAAAGCACACATTTCTTTAGTAAATATGGAAATCACAAACAAAGTTCATCTGGATGCCATCCAAAGTGCAATAAATCAGAAAAAGAACCAGAAGTTGAGTAATAGTCAGAGATACTTGCCTTTATACAGGTTAGTGACAGCTGTGGCTGCATTCTGGAAGGGCACCCAGAGGGAGAGGCCTTGCTGCTGGCATACTCTATCTGTCAATTAAATTAAAAAAGTTACAGTCAGATTGTCATAACTTTCCAGTGACATTAATATTGTCATTCTTGCTTCATTAGCCTGAACTCCCTTCTCAAGCTCAAATGTCTTCTTTAGAAACAGTCTATAGTGGGGTTTAATAATACAACTGTGCATACTAAAAGAGGAAACCAACCAGCCATATTTGTAATTAAAAGTCTATCTAAAGGCTGCAAAACACCGCCAAATTCGTGTTATACATAGAAAACTATTATTAAGATGAGTATTGATACAGAAATAGGGTCGTTAAGAAAAGCTGTCAAAAAACAAAAACAAGAGTTTAGGTCTGGGCAGTTCTCCACATGCATTATCTATGTCTATTGGGTTTACTCTACAAATGACTCACTGGTAATACTTTTAAAGAAATAGAGCTCTGTTGCAGTTTGAACATGCAGGGGTATATCACTTGTAAGCTGGGTGGGGGAACATTGGACAGACTTGACAAGCAAGTTGTCAAAAGCCTTGTCTGGAGAACCAGGTAATCTTGATTATGTTCATACTAACAACTTACAGATCAAATATAATTAACCATGATGTAACCATTTTATATATAGACGTTTATTTCCCGTTTATTTTTGAGCATATAGCAGAAGCTGATAGAAGCCGTAGTTCATTTACAAGGGTGTTTTGTTTATTAAACTCAGCAGCAGGTCAAAACGAGACGTAAAAAGAAAGTGTTTGCATAAATAATATCGCCATTTTGTTCTGGATATTTACAACAATGCACTCATCAGCAAAAGTCCATGGAAACGGGTGTTAGAATAAAATGTCTTTGTGCCTTCCCTTATCAAATCACACACCAACATTGCGACAATTAACCACCACTGCGTTTTTAGATCAACAAACGAATTGTTTTCACTCTGCAAACTCCTCCCTGGATATCGCCATTTTGACGAGCTAGGTAACTGTAAACGGGTGGACAAAAACATTTTAGTGTGACTGAGCCATGTTTTTTCCAAACCGGACGAATAAGTGTGCATAAAGACATTAAAAACACACTGCTGAGTCAACAGGGGAGCCACTTAGCCCGAGTACTTATAAATGCGTTTATCCCCGGAGGACCTCTGACAGCTCGGGCCACAGAGCAGATGCAGCCCGTTGTCCCGCACACTGACCGGCTGTTAGCAGCTGTTAGCGTTAGCAGCGGGCTAGCTCCAACGACAGGCAACGTAGCCGGGTCAACATATCGGAAAGTGAATCGCACAACCGTCGAGATTTAAATACATTTGAAAGAACACACATTCTAGTTTCACCCCACACACGGAAACTCATTTTGTCGATAAACAACTAGTAACAGCTAACACTGTTAGCCTCGCTAGTGCCCTTTGTGTCTCTCACTGGTAGCAGGATTAGCTTGATTTAGCTCTGACAGTTAGCTTAACTGGAACTTCGGTACAGACCTTTGTAGAGCTGTGCTACCGCGGTAGCCGAGTTCTGGAAGAGGTGCCACAGTTTCTGTTGGCCTTGTTCCGTCTCCTCCTCGTTTGGATCATCCCTCCGCTCGGCCTCCGCTAGACACTGTCGTTCCCATTTGGAGAACCAGTGCTCCGGGCCGTGTTCTTGGATCTCCGCTTCTCCCTCCTCCTTCTTCTCCTCCATAGCTAGCTAGCGTCAGGCGTTAGCTAGTAGCTTATAAGCTAGCCTTCGTATGAAGTATACGATTGTTGGTTTCCGTAGATACTTAAATGTCTTTTTTTTCCTGTGTACTATAAGAGAAAAACGTGAACCGACCCTAACCATCTATAGAAAAAGAAAACAAATCTGCCGTTAAAGTCGCATTGTGAACGTCTTAAATTCTGCCCGTACGCCCAGTGTAAAACACACCAAACTAAGGAACACGATGACAACACCTAAGAATTTCTGGGGCAAACCACGCCTATTTTCAAACCGGGCTTAAAAACTATTGGTCCTAGGGATTTTTGTGGGCGGGTCTCTGTGCTGAACACGAAGCCTGATTGGACAACGGCAAAAAAAGAGAAAAGGTCAGAGAAAAACAAAGTTGATCCCACCCAGTAGCCTGCCGTACAGCATTCATTACAGAAGGGGGCAGCCTGGCCCTGGAAAAGTGGGCCATGACTAATGTGCTCAAAAGCATTTGGACACCCTGTCCACACTATTGGCCAATGCTGAAGAATTGTAATCTTTTTATCTAGCGTGTGTGCTTTTAGTATTGATAAAAAACGTATGTGTTCATGATTAATCACATGATTATTGTATAACTATACAAATTCCATACCCATTAATTTAAATCCAAAGGTAAGAAACCATGCTTTATTGCATTTAGCAATGAGTTTAAATTATACATTCATTTAATTCAATACTCTAAAACAAAAAAGAGACATACATGGATCCCTCCTCTGCTGCTCTCCCTGAGGTTTCTCCCATTTTCCCCTTTAAACTGTGGGGTTTTTCCTGTTTTGGAAGTTTTTCCTTGTACGATGTGAGGGTCTAAGGACAGAGGGTGTCGTATTGTCATACTGATATTCTGTACAAACTGTGAAGTCCACTGAGACAAATGTAACATTTGTGATATTGGGCTATATACATAAATATTGATTGATTGATTGATAACATATGTTGCCCCTCACCCCTTTACAATAGCAAATGTGAAAAAAAAATAAAAAAATGTATCTATTTTTAAAGTGGAAGAGCCATTCAATACAGAGATAAGCATCTCATGTGGCGAAAAACGCAATTAAATTAGTAAAGTCTACAATGAGCTACTGGTCATATAATATTATAACTTTTCAATTACATGCAGATACGGCTAAGTCTTGCAGGGGGAAGTTCAATGTCACGCTATCTTTTTTTGAGTCCATGGGCTAAGGATTGGGTCCAAAGATCAGATGAGGGTATAACAGAAACGCACCTGTCCCTCGGTCCCACTGCACAGGTCTCTCTGTCAGACTGTGCCGATTTGTCTTTCTCCATCTTTAAACCACAGTTTCTTATTTTCTGGAAACACTGCTGTTTTTGAATATGTCTATGGAGAAGCAGGCTGTTGGGGATGTTGAGGAGTATTTTCAGGAACCAGGTCCAACTGTCACATTCAGCAACTTGCTCTACTGTGTTCAGGACAAGAGGTTGTGTTTTAAGAGAGGACCTGAAAAATACATCCTCAACGATGTAAGGTAGGACATGATACTCCACTGTACATTTGTACATATTCACACACAGAATATGTAACTGACTGCATTTAACTTCTGATCTCGTCATACTGGGGTCAACTTTTTGCTAATCTACATTTTTCCTATTCACTTTTTTTTTAACTGTTTTTATACTAATACCATATGCTGTAATTCTGAGTAAGTTATGAGATCAAGCTTTGTTTAGTTTGTAGCTCATTTCATCTAACCTGTATATTTATTATTTTATAGGAACTTATCCCATCTGTATATGTTTTATTATAGAAAGCTGAGACAATAAAACATTTGGAAGTCAAACATGTCCCGATATGAAATCCATAACCAGGGGGAGAAGTATTTCTTTTAATCAATGAGTTTAATAAGTGAGTGGTGAAAGATAATCTGTTTCTTGATAATGATATGCTAATACTAAAGCTGAGAGGCACGTTTTATGTTACCTCTGATTTTGTGTGAGTACAAAACTTTAGAGCTTAAATATGACAATGTTGCAGTTTAAAGTTTGATATTTTGCTTTTAACTTTTCAATATATCATGGTATTTTGTTTTATTGTTTTAAAGTGTGCTCTATAAACAAAATAACTTGACTTGATTTTCTGATTGGTTCCTGTAGTGGCATCCTGAGACCTGGAATGAATGCCATTATGGGTGCCACCGGAAGTGGTAAAACATCGTAAGAAACATGTTTATGTACGTGCAAACACACAGGCACTGTCTCACAGAGATCTAAAACCCCAACAAATGAATACATTTTTCTTTTTTCTTCAGACTTCTGGATGTAATCGCAGGAAGGAAGGACCCGGCTGGACTGAGGCAAGGACAAGTGTTGGTGGCTGGAAAAGCCGTCACATCTGACCTCAGGCTCAGCTCTGCCTATGTGGTCCAGGTATACAAATACAAACATACACACAAATGTTTTAACATTATTGTACTTCGGATTCCACTAAGTATTTTTTTTCCTAAATCCTCCATGTGCTTCCAGGATGATATCCTGATGGGCACTTTGTCTGTGAGGGAGAACCTTCTGTTCAGTGCCAACCTGCGCCTCAACCCTCGGCATCACACCAGCGCTGATAAAAACAGCAGAGTAGATGCCATCATTCAAGACCTGGGCCTGACAGACTGTGCAGGTACAAAGGTACAGTGACACACTATTAGCTTCATATCTCTCACTAAACAAAAGTGTTTGATAAAGTCCTGTGAGTCTTATTCAACCTTAAAAACTGTTATTTTACTAACCTCTTACTCAGCAGCACTTATTTAAAACGCTGCAGTACCTGCGCACATATAGAAAGTATATCTGAGAGAATAGTGTCCAAATGATATATAAAGAGCACAAAATGTATCTAATTCCTATAAATTCTTTAAATCTGTAAAAATGTACCGACTTTTAAACATAGCAAAGGCTTATGCACTGACATTAAAATGTGCAAAACAACTTCCTCAGTAACATTAACAGGAGTATTTAGTATGTTTCCCCTTTGCTGGTCAGCTTTGCAGTTCAGTGTTTTCTGTGTGCAGATAGGAACAGAGTTTCTGCGTGGGGTATCTGGAGGTGAGAGGAAGAGGTGCAGCATCGGAATGGAGCTCATCATCTCGCCCTCTCTGCTGTTCCTGGATGAACCGACCACTGGACTGGATTCTAACACTGCAAACTGTATCATTAATCTACTGTACAGGTACAGCACAATTACTTATCAAGGCGAGACACTACAGACGAAAATATTATTTATAATTTTTCCTGTTAAATTTTGCTATATACCATTTATTTTACTGCACTTTGTCTTTTTGTATTGCTCCAGTGTCCTCTAGTGAGAATTGCTTTTCTCATTTGCACATTAAATGTGTAAAACCTAGTAAATATTTAATGAGATCATGCCACATTTTCATAATTAAACATAACAGAAAATGTGTTATATAAAAAACAGTTGTCCTGATGTACTATGACGTTTAATGGCAATAACTATTAGTAAAAACATTGTACCTTCTTCACCTTCCTTAATTCTTCTTTGTGCATTAAAATGGCCTACTACAAAGGAAGAAATGAAAACTAACACATACAATGCTGCTATTTATGGCAATGTCATACAGTGAGCAATATACTCAATATTAGCTGTTGGCTTTATTACTGCTGTGTCTGCCCATCCACTGCTTTCTTTGTGTTTTCTGTAACAATATGGACGTAAACACATTTCTCTTATGCATGTACAGACTGTCAAGAAGAGGTAAGACTGTGATCTTTTCCATCCACCAGCCACGCTACTCCATCTTCAGAAAGTTTGACCATCTGACTCTGATGCATAAAGGCGAAGTGGTGTACGCAGGAGCATCAGACCAAGCACTGGATTACTTCACAAACCTTGGTATGTGTGTGTTTGTGTATGAAAGGTGGAGGACCTTGACAATAAGTGTGTTGGAATGTAATTGAATAAATCCCTGTAAATAGAAGGAGAATATATTGCATTGCCATATGAAGTCCTTTGCTTGACAGTGAGCTACCTCAATGCTTTTTTATTTAAATTGCTTCATACTCTATCAGGATATTGTTTGCTATTATAGAGGTCATTGTTAAAGTTTTGCACGTGTTTTGAATATGATATATTTACATTCGTTTTTTGGTTGTTGTTTTTTCACAGGCTTCCAAATTGAGTCCTTTGACAACCCTGCGGATTTCTTCATGGACATCACAAACGGAGAGGCAAAATCAACATTAGGAACCCTTACTACAGGTATAACTTCAAACACATTGCTTAGGTAGGCTACTGTATGGTATACACCAACAGAGGCTAACTAAGGCGCTCTAGACATTTTCTATGGCTTCAAGTCAAATTGGGCTGTAGGTTGTAATGCTAAAGTTTGAAATGACATTTAAATACTAGTTTACTCAACAAAATTCCCTCTAGGATCAGGGTTAGGAGGCGATAAGCTTAGATTATCAATATACCTGGAAAGAGTAGCTGCTTTTATTTTTATCCTGATTGTCTAACAATTACGCAAAAATGATAATACTGACAGAAACTCACTGTGGCGATTATCTTTAGTGACAGCCGTAGAAATAAAACAAGAAAATAACGGACTTTGGACTGTTTGTTGTGGTCACAATAGTGAAATCAGTGCTGTGCACTGACCATAAAAATAGAATGAGTTAGTTAAATGGTAGCCACTCTGACCTTTCTGCTGTATTGATTTGAATGGGAATTCCCATCCTCATCTTATTCTATTTACATGGCCTCAGCACTTTATATTTATAGCAACAAAAAGGCGAACCAGGCCCTCCAAAACAAAAGAGCTAAAGACAAGAATTTACATATTAAAATGCCTTTATTGTAGTGGCTGAATCATTGAAAAGTCAATGTGTTCTGACCGCTGTAGGTCTTTGTCATGGCTCTAAACACTAACTCAATCACACCCACCTATATAGTAGCAATAACCAAAGGGAGTGAATCACATGACGCATATAATCTCATAACAGGGGAGAAAATACATAAATAATGAGAACAGGACCTTTAATGATAGGAGATTTTAAAGAGAATATATTTTCTTGTACATCATAAATGGATGATAGGTATCCATAGGTTTAAACATAGAGTGTGAGAAAAACAGAAAGCCAATAACAACAATTATTTACAGAAAACATATAAAGTCTATATCCTTATTGAGACCAGGATGACACTTTACTCCTTTACCCAGATTGTATCCAAGATACCAAAGTAATGACTGGAAATCACCAAACCCTGAGAGGAATGTATAAAAAAGAAGGTTATAATGCTGCTATCCTTATCTATGGTGATGTATAATGATCACTACCTTTCTTTACAGCAGAGTGTAAAAACCCATTGGCAATCAAGTACCGCCAGTCCGAACTGTGCCAGAAAGTAGTTGAGGAGTTGAACCATGTGGACAAGAGCATTGCTGAAGGAGTCAAAGATCACGACGAGCCCGCAGACTACGTTACGTCTTTCTGCTATCAGGTCAGCCAACTCTGCAAGTCAGAAACGTATTAAAACGATGGACAAAACGTGTTTATTACATTAAAAAGGACATACAACTATTATAAGAGGAAATTAAGACAAGGCAAGGCAAGTTTATTTATATAGCACTTTTCAACACAAGGCAATTCAAAGTGCTTTACAAAAAATGAAAGACATTAAGAAAATGGCATTTAAAATCAGTCATTAAAAAGAAAAGATAATAAATGAAACATTAAAAGAAAAAAAGTACATGGATAAAAGTTACAGTGCAGTCTAAGATATGAATAGTTCAATTAAAAGCAGCGACAAAAAGAAAAGTCTTCAGCCTGGATGTAAAAGTAGTCAGAGTTGCAGCAGACCTGCAGATTTCTGGGAGTTTGTTCCAGATATTTGGAGCATAATAACTAAATGCTGCTTTTCCATGTTTAGTTCTGACTCTGGGGACAGAAAGCTGACCAGTCCCTGAAGACCTGAGAGATCTGGATGGTTCATAATTTAGCAGGAGGTCAGAAATGTATTTTGGGCCTAAACCATTCAAAGCTTTATAAACCAGCAGCAGTATTTTGAAATCTATTCTTTGACACACAGGAAGCCAGTGTAAAGACTTCAGAACTGGAGTGATGTGATCCACTTTCTTAGTGTTAGTGAGGACTCGAGCAGCAGCGTTCTGAATTAGCTGCAGCTTTCTAATAGATTTTTTAGTGAGACCTGTGAAGACACCATTGCAGTAGTCGAGTCTACTGAAGATAAAAGCATGGACAGGTTTTTCCAAATTCTGCTGTGACATTAGTCTTTTAATCCTAGATATATTCTTTAGGTGATAGTAGGCTGATTTAGTAACTGTTTTAATGTGACTGTTGAAACTCAGGTCAGAGTCTATGACTACACCTAGATTTCTGGCTTTATCTGTTGTTTTGAACATTGCAGACTGAAGCTCAGCGCTAACTTTTATACATTCTGCCTTGTCTCCAAAAACCATTACCTCAGTTTTATCTTTGTTTAATTGGAGAAAGTTCTGACACATCCAGACATTGATTTGTTCAATGCACTTACTCAGTGTTTGAATTGGAGCATAGTCTCCTGGTGAAATTGTTACGTAAATTCGTGTGTCATCTGCATAGCTATGGTAACTTGGTAAAGAGAAGAGGCCCCTAGATGGAGCCTTAAGGAACCACACATGTCATATTTGTCAACTCAGATGTGTATTTACCTATAGAAAGAAAGTTGTTTCTGTCCTTTAAGTAGGATTCAAACCAATTCAGAATTGTTTCCGAAAGTCCCACCCAGTTTTCTAGTCGGTCGAGTAATATGTTGTGGTCAACAGTGTCAAACGCAGCACTGAGATCTAATAATATTAACACTGAAGTTCTGCCACTGTCTGTGTTTAAGTGGATGTCATTAAAGACCTTTACAAGAGCAGTCTCAGTGCTGTGGTTTGGACGAAAGCCTGACTGGAACACATCAAAACAATTATTTAAATGCAAGAAATTACTCAACTGTTGAAAAACAACTTTTTCAATGATTTTACCTAGAAATGGGAGGTTTGATATGGGCCTGTAATTGTTCATTACTGAAGCATCGAGATTATGACTGCAGTTTTCAGGGCCTGTGGAAAAATACCTGAGTGAAGAGATTTGTTTACTATATGAAGTATATTAAGATCACAGTTGTTATTTATTTTATGATAAACTGAAATTGAATTGAGCTTATGATGTATCGTCACAGTTTAATGACTGTGCCAGCCAGCTGTGTGCTTGTTTGCCCGCTGAATGAACCCTGTTTATAACTGTCATTATGCCCATAACATTTTTACCGTGTGCGTGTGCGTGTGGTGTGTGTGTGTGTGTGTGTGTGTGTGTGTGTGTGTGTGTGTGTGTGTGTGTGTGTGTGTGTGTGTGTTTGTGTGTGTGTGTGTGTGTGTGAGTGTGTGTGTGTGTGGGTGTGTGTGTGTGTGTGTGTGTGTGTGTGTGTGTGTGTGTGTGTGTGTGTGTGTGTGTGTGTGTGTGTGTGGTGTGTGTGTGTGTGGTGTGCGTGTGCGTGTGCGTGTGCGTGTGCGTGTGCGTGTGCGTGTGTGTGTGTGTGTGTGTGATACAGATGCATGTGGTGTGTGGCAGGACAGTGCTGAACAGTCTGAGGAACCCCCAGACGTCTTACGCTCAGTTGGCTCTCAACATCTTCTTTGCGATTCTGGTGGGACTAATTTATTACCAAATGCCTTTAACACTGCCCGAGGCTATACAGAACAGGTACAGCACACACAACCTGCATTGTGTATCTGCTCTAAATGCACCTTTGCACACTTAAAGGTGTCACCTTTCCCCAGCCCACCTCAAGGCCAAACTACAACAGTACTACATAATGAAAATAGAAGATCACATGAAAAGATTTTTCTCAATAATGTCGATGGTTTTCATTTTACATTATTGCATGTAGACAGGAATATATGATAACATATAGTGTGTCCATATCAGAAATAAAACCATTGCTGTCATTAAAACTGAAAAGATGTTCAAAAATTAATAAGTAAGTGCTCTGGTATGATAGGTCAATTCAATTTAAGATATAGTAAATTGGTCTTATTGATAAACCCAAGGTCAGGCTGATGTAGCTTAACTATCCATCAGATGAAATGATAAACAGATCTCTTTCTCTCTGTGTGACAGGGGTGGAGCGTTCTTCTTCCTTATCATCAACATGGTGTTTGGGAATCTCTCTGCTGTTGAACTCTTTATCAATGAAAGGGCGATCTTCATGTGAGTGAAAGATAAGAGTTGTGTGTGCGTGTTGAAGTGCACATATGCCGAAGGTTCATAATCAATGATTGGATAGATCCATGTGGATAACATTTCTCTTTGTATTACTATTTAAAGGATTAGACTGGTGTAATTCTATATTGTTCTTATTGTTAATAAATCCTATGAAAAAAACTAAACCAACTATACGTTAGTATGTCTAAAAATGAATCGGCTAGCCTTTTCTGTCTGTGGCACTGAGCCCTGGGTCTTTAGAATCATTCTTTTACAGGCTATATATCGTTTTGTTTGAAGTAAAGGGGACTAATTCAGCTATGGATTAATAAACCTTTGATAACCCAGAAAGAAATTACTGCAACAGGACGGTGTATGTGAGATTGAGTTCAAATTAAACTACAGTGTGTGTGTATTTGAGAAAATGATAGAATACAGTAACAACAGTGTGCCTAATTTATATGTTTTAAGTGTTATACTTGAATATAAAGTATAGGCATTACTTGTTTCTGTTAAGTCATAACAATCCCATGTTTCTAAATGTGATACAAAGTGTGTATTTATGTGTTAATGTGTTTCTTGGGGGTCTTTTCTTGTAATTGTTTCAGTCACGAGAACTCCAGTGGCTATTACCGTACTTCTGTCTACTTCCTGTCCAAGATCTTCGCTGATCTCATCCCCAACCGCATCATCCCCATCTTAGTTTTTTCAGCCATCGCCTACTATATGATGGGTAATTCTCACACATACAAGCACATACACACCATGAATACACACACTGGCGGAGACTTTCCTAAAGCAGAGAAAAACCGGTGTTGTTTAATGTATGTCTTTGAGATTACTTTGTAACGTACGCGATCTGCCGTCTTCAGGACTGCAGGGATCTCAAGAATTGTATACATAGCAAGTGAAAGCAGAAATATCTGTTAAAGGGAACAGTCTATATTTCTCTCTGCACAGACTTGGTTTATCCCCAAGGTGGTTCAAGTTTTAGAAATGAAATGAGGATGACAGGGAGTCGCCTGGTTCCAGTTGTATTCGTCATACTAGTTTATGCTCTAGCTGTTGATATGTTTTTGTCTGAAACCTTTCATTTAACCCTTCTGCCATGTCGGGACCCACCGGGGGAAATCTGCTAAAAGCAATACTCAGGATGTTATTAAAATGTCTCCTGTCATACTATTTTCTGTCTTCTTCGGATCTCAGGTAATCATCACAATGTAATGAAATGTGAAAAGTGCTCCTCTTGTGTTACAAGAGCAAATCAGAAACAGCAGCTACAAAAAACATAAATGAATCATTATCCCATATATTGTTGAGTACTCACAGTACATTTGTAATTTGTGCCAACAGGGTTTAAATTCAAATTTTATTTGACCAACAGTAGGTGCCGAATATACAAAATGCTTTAGTTTGCATTGAAAATATTCTCCGTCAAATTCCAGCAGCTTTTTAGGATAACGTTGAATATTTCCAATGTTTGATTTTAAAGTAATCCAAACGTATTCAGATTAGATTGCATTTTATAATCAAATGTGTTACAAATGCTTGAAAAATGCCATTTAATTTATATTCAGTAACTGACTACATTTAAAATGAATCTGAACTGCATTGTCTTCCCCAGGATTGAAGCCTTCCTTTGTGGCCTTCCTGTGTTTCGCGCTGACCATGTCTATGGTCAGTCTGGCGGGAGTTGGTCTGGCCTTCCTCGTCTCAGCAAGCGTATCTTCCTTTGCCATGGCTAACATCCTCATTGCTCTACCCTTCGTCTTCATGATGGTGAGAAACACACAAAATGAGGTCATAATGTGTGTGTATTGCTGCATATATAAAGCAGAAATATGTTTTTAAGTGTACTTTTCCCTCTTTTCCTTCGTCATCCACACATTTTAGGTCTTTGGTGGTTATCTTGTCAATCTCAACGGCATGCTGATCTGGCTCTCCTGGCTGAAATGGATCAGTATTTTCAGATATGGACTGAATGTAAGACATGAAAAATAGGCAGAGCAAGAGCAGAAGGGTGTGGTTGTGAGAGCAAGATCAGTGGGTTCAAATGTAATCTTGTCTTTTGTCTGTCGAGTGAAAAGCTGTTCAGGCCAACCTCTTTGTCTCTCTCAGGCTGCATTCATCAACGAGATGTCAGGACAGTTTTTCTACAGCAACACCACCAAGTGAGTGCTGAGCAATGATGAACACTCCTTAAAAAACACAATAACCCTCACGCACGTGCCAACACACATACAAACCCACACTAAGCCTGTCTTGTCTGTGCTGCAGGATCCCAGGGGAGGTGTTCCTGGAAATCCAGGGCCTTGACTACTCTGCATGGGGCTTCTGGCAGAACCAGGTGGCTCTGCTGGGAATCGTCCTGGTCTGCATGGTCCTGGCCTACGTACAGCTGCGACGAATCAACCGCTGGAAATAATAATCGTCTGTTTATGTATCCCTCAAACACACACTTTCTCTTATTTATTTAACAAGCCTCAAATGAAATGCATAAGGGAAATTCCTTTCGGGGGGGGGAAAGAACATACTCGAATATTTAATATGAAATAACCTTTTTGATGGTATTATTTAAATTATTACATGGAATCTGTGTCTCTCACTCATGCTCGATTAGACAAACAAACTCACGTGTTGTAACATTTGTCACAGAGGAAGATAAGCTACCACTAAGCACACTCTAATTCCCTACAAAGCTACTTACAGTGAGTGAGACAACTTTGGGCACAGTGAAGAGATGTACATGTATGTATTTTAATAGTTATTTTTAAGTTCTACAGTAAAAAATGGTAAGTCAAGTTTTATTTATGTCTTGCAGAGCAAGTGAAAGAACTCTATTTTATTTTTTGTCTAATACACCACATATGTTGTATTTTTCCAGTTAGAAAAATAAATATTCATATCTTATCAACATTAAATATGGACAAAAACATGGGATCCTTGCTGTAATTCTTGATCACAGAAAAAATAGTTGCATTACAGAAGAGCATTCAAAAACCACATTTCCCTGGCATTAAGTTATATTACCGCTTTCCACAGTATGTAGTAGCTCTTCATTAAAGCTACTATGTACATTAAGTGAAATATTCAAACCCAAGACTCCATGATTGTTCATGGCTGCATGATTGCATTTAAGGGGAAATATTTTAGATAGTCTGTGCATCATCGTCCTGTTTTTTCCATTAATTATTAGAGCATATATGGCATTTTTTAAACGTGCAGATCTCCACTAGATTTGAAAAAGCTCAGTTTCAGGTATTGATAATGTTGGCTGTACAACATGAGTTTGAACTCAACTATCCATCTTTAAAACAATCAGTGTAGTTTTGTCTTCCCCAGTGTATTACATGTTGTCCTTTTAAAATAGAACCACATTTAACACTCATTGTAAACTCACAGGAAGCCAAATATGAATCAAGAATTATTTTGTATCTTACAAAATCACTTATGAGACATGTCAGTGCAGTGCATTGTGTGCCTTATGACAATGAGTAAAACAAGCTAAAATGTTCTTTGTCTTTATCAGGTTTTCAAACGTGTAGACCTAATTTTAATTCCTTAAGTTTTACTTCCCGGAAAAAGAAAATGTTAAGAAAATGTCAATTGTCTCTACATTTCATATAAAACGTTAACACTGTCACAATGGTTTAATTTCTTTGCAGGGCTAGGCCCATATAATACAAAAACAGAGCACCAGGGGATACAGAACACAAGCTGTACAAAAAAAGGACAGAAACTGCAGTTCATTCTCATGTTGTAAGATGACACTAAGCAGCAGTTCTCATTCCACCTTTAAAAACTGTTCACCTTGCTTTTACTCTTATCCGATCTGTTTCCCACTGTCACAGGTGTGTTTTCCAACCCTTGCAGCCACTCTGAACATTTAAGCACCACACGCTCATCCACACAATGGTCCTCCTCTTCATACTCCACATCATCATACTTATGTTGCTCGTTTAGAAGAGAGATTTTCACAATTGAGCTTAAGTCTACCAGATGAGCGTCATTATAGTTTTTAGCACCGACTCTGCTATTCGAAGTGCTGTGTTTCTCTGATGCTGCTTGGTGCCTTTTAGTAATGTTTTCCCTCCTGCACCTGGTATCAAATGTGCTTCCATAAACACCTCCTCCACTTCCGGCATTTCTGCACGCTGATTGTTGACGTCTCTCACTGTTCCTCCTATGCAGCAGCAGGACAGCGTCAGGTGTGAGAGTCAGTGTGAGGCCAACCTTCTCCTGATGCCTGGGCCTCGTCTTCACCTCTGGTTCACTCTTCAAAGAACTCTGGCTCACATGTTTGTGCTGCTGTTTCTTAAACAGGGACTCACCCGAGCTGGAAGCTGGGAAGCTGTCGGTTTGTGATGAAGGCAGCATTCTCTCCTTTCTCTTTGCATGCAGCTCGGCCACCGACACTGCTTTAGCGATTGGCAGGTGACTCCTGGGTTGACTCTTCTTCCCCAGCTGCTTGAGGTTCAAAGCCATTCGCTCCTTTACTGAGCCGTCTTTGTCTTCTCTTGCAACTTTGGTCAAAGTAGTTCCTTTTTGGATCTTTGTGAAAGTAGTTGTTGAAGTGTTGCTGATAAGTCTCTCCTTCACAGACAGTCCTGACAAAGAGCGGGAAATCGACACAGGTGGTATGAAGGGCATTTTGGCTACACACAGGACCAAATAGGAGAGGAGTTCAGTTTTACGGTTGAAGTGCTGAAACAAAAAAAGGGAGGACACTAAGGAGGAAACTAATTGACTGAAGGATGGGAGAAACTGATGCATCCTCTGCCATGCAGGGGTCAGCTGTGAGTGTGTTACTGCTGGGTCCCAGGAGACATCCTGACAGCGTCTTATACCCAAGCAGCAGGAGTGCGTGGCAAAAGGCATGTTTGACCTCAGACGAGTAGAATTAAGGTGTCCTTGCTTCTCACATGCTCATTAACCTGAGGCTCAAAGATCTAAAATAAACCCACACTTCTAATCCTCTGGTGTCATGTCAATGAGGGCACGTTCACTACTCACAGTGCAAGTACACAAGCAGGCTTAATCCAATAAATGTGGATGTATTGATGACAAGAGTGAAAGTTAGGTGAACAGATCTATGCAATGTAGCTGCGATGAAAAATATGTGGAAACAAGGTCTAATTGGAGCATGAAAGTTCATTCATGTCCTTGGTTATAGTAATTGGCTCCTTACTTTCTGTAACAATGTACATTTCCTCTGAGATGGATAAAGGTATTCTGATTGCGTAAGAAAAAAAAATAACTCAAGGTAAACTTTCTAGCTTTTCTCACACAGCGTTCATCAGCAGTTTAAAAAAAAAACTTCTTATTTTGTCAAATGTGGAATTGAATTTAAAGGCATCATTTATATACACAACCTGCGATTGCATTGCTCAGCATTTTCGTCTTATTGCTTCGCTTTAAAAAAGGACAAGAAACATGAAAAACGATTGACAGAAAATATTTATTTAATATGATTTTGTTACAAAAGGTAAAATATAAAGATGTCTAAATTATACATGACAGAAAGCAATGTATTCTTCTTACAATTTACACATTAATATATTCATTTTAGGTTATACTGACAGATTAAAAAAACACATCAGCAATTAGTTTAACTTCTTAGTAGTCAATCGTGTGTGTTTTCATTCACAGCAGGACCTCCTGTGTACATGGAGGACCCTGTAACAGCGAGGGCAAGTGTGATAGGCATCCTTGAAATGGTTCACGAAAAAAGGAATCAGACAGCATCCAAGCACCAAGCTGTAAAACAGAAATCACACATCAGTCTTTGCATTTTCAATGTGTGAATGATGCTGGGTAATTAGATAACCAGATTAAGGTATTTGATCGAGTCCCTTACGAGCATAATACAAACACCAGGCACATGAGCCACGCATGCCTCCCGACTTTGAAGATGACTTGCGTGGTGACCCGCGTCTGACAGGAAGTACATGTCGTCAGACCCGGAGAGCAACACAGCTCCGTCTCATAGCTCACAAACTTCAGCTTGGGTGTAAATATAGGAGCAGGGGAAGCTGGAGAGAAGACATGTGGGGAGGAAAAAGAAAGCTTATCTTCAAATGTAACATTAGGATATTACCTTAACTTCAAATTATAGTTTAAGTCCTTAACATTCTCTGATCAATGCTGTAGGAGGTTTAACTACCATAGTGTCATCCAGTGGCGGCGCTAGGGGGTGGCTACTTGGGCTCAAGCCCCGGATGTTTTCTGAAAAGCCCCGGATGTTTCACTTAAAAAAAAATTAGAATTATTATTATTATTTTTTTTTTTTAAAAACGTCTCGGGAGTAATGTGCAGTACCGGAGTCCACCAGAGAGGCAGCCACTGTGGGACATTAGCCTGCGTAGCCTGCCCTGAAGAAGAAGTGATCCTTCCTAGTGCCTGGCGAGTTTTATGGTTTTAAGCTAATAGCCTATACAGTTATGGATATTAGAAAGTTATTGTCATCGAAGCAGGCGCCACAAGCTGCTGCAGCAGCAGTATCAGCAGCTGACAACAATGTCATCACCAGCAGTCAAGAAATGGATGATGTTTCAGGTTTGTTAATCTAATGAAGATATCTGCACTCTGGCTGACTGAGTAAGAAGTGAAAAAGAGTGATGTAACGTTAATGTTATAGCTAGTAAACATGGAGTAACCACACTAAGTATACCCTTATATGTTAGTATGTATACAGAACATGACTAAAAATTATCCTAAGATGTAACGTTAACCCTTCATACCTCAGTCTACTTTTAAGACACTAAAATAACGTATTCCAATTTTTATTTTCGCGCGTGGAATTATACCGGCTCTCGTTTCAGTACACATAATAACAGAACTGACAGGCAACCCTCTGAATCAGACTCCGATTGGCTGTGACTGTATCCACTCAGAGTGTCCGATTCAGAAACGTGACTCTTACACTCTTTACGTCACAAACAAAGATGGTGGATGAGAATAGATCTATAAAACGATAAGCAATGCACCAGAATCAAGGTGAGACTATCCGCATCCTTTAAAACTCTACGCACATTCGTTTCACCTTAATAAGTAAACGACTATTTGAGTGAGTTAAGGCATTAGTTTGCTTCATTAAAGGGTGTTAATGAGTGTTCTCCAGTGCCTTTTGTCCGCTTTAAGGTGTTATTAAGGTAGGGTTAATGTTGCTCTCAAAGTGCACCAGATTGATGCTTTCAACTTCAATATTTAAAAAAAATCTTCCCGGGGGAGCATGCCCCCGGACCCCCCGAGAGGAGGTGACGACCCCCCTAAAGGATGTTCGGTCCACTCCCCACTTGTAAAAAATAGCACTGTACCCCTGCACTGTACCCCTGCACCCCCCCCAACCCAACCCAACCCAACCCAACCCAACCCAACAACTCCTGGGCTAAGCCCCGGATCTCCTACAATCCTAAATCCGCCACTGGTGTCATCCAAAAGCAGAAATAATAACTTCAATTATTTCTGAATGACAAATTGTTGCATTTCCTCCCATTCCATGCATGGAAATTAGTAAACAGAAATACTGGACACAGGACCAAGGTCCCAAAGTGTCAGTCCTCCATGGCTTTCACCTCCAAAATGTAACTCAAAGAGACTTACCAACTAGGAAGATATGCAAAATGACCCTAAAGATATATATTAAAAAAACTATAAAGTGATAAACTACTACAAATACATGCAGAACAGCTGCAAAGTAACACAAAGTTTTACAACGATTATGACAAGGGGAAAAACAGCCATGAAATGACATTTAGGCCTGCTCTACATATTCAAAATGGAGGCAGATGTTAGTTGAGCATGTAGGCCTACCAGTAAGAGATGGGTATGTTTCAGTGGAGCAGCCAATTCCAGGAGAAAAAGAGAAGCAAGGAGGTGGTGGAGGGCTGAAAGGCGAGTTAATATGGTAGATCCTCGGAGCTCGTACCGTTTGACTTTCATCTGGAAGAACAATTTACAAACTTTATTTAACTGTAGTGTGTACTGTTAAAACCTATGATTTCTGGCTCTGTAAGTTTGAGAGTTTTTTACCTGGTAAGAAGTACGGCGGAGGAGTAGGAAACGGCTCATCTGCTTTTGATAATGACTCCATTTAAAAATGTATGCTAAAATGTGTGAACAAGAATCTGATGTGTTTTCAGTCAGCTGCAGTTCATCTGAATGTGTACCAGGTGCAAATAAGAGGTGCTGATTGAGATCTCCTCTGATTGGTTGAAGAACCTATTACCCAAAAGGCAATAGCAAAATGACCTTTAAAATGAGGCAAATGTGATTTTTTAAAGTTTGACAGAAGAGCCAATTTGTGTAAGGTTTAATGCAGAATGAATGGAGATTGATTGACTGTAATTTGGAAGCATCTTAACTTATTTCACTCCATTGGTTGAACAATTGGATTAAAAGGTTTAGATGTATACTGTTGCTCAATAAATGAATGATAGGTGTGTTTGAAGTACATTGAACAAGACCTGCATAACATTATTTATGTAAATAAAATCCTTACCACTCCCAGCTTGTTTATTAGTGGGAGACTTTGGTCAGGGTAACTATAAAGTACAAATACAGGCATCACTTAAATTATGAGCTATGTTATGTGGTATATAATAAAAGCGTTAATCAAATGTTTCCAGGTTTTTTTTACCACCATGGCATACTTGGTGAAAACACTGGTCATATTAAACTCTCAGAAATAGTATATTGGCAGAATAATGATAATATTCTTTGCATTAAATTTAAAAAAAAGTACAGACCAATGTCGTCTTTAAATATGTGGTGAGACATGAAAGCCTCAGCACATAATGAATGGGTGAAGAACATGCCAAATAAGTCTTCTTTAGAAACCATACTTCAAAAATGTGCTTATTGGCCCCCCTGTAAATTGAAATGTAAGTTCAGTGTGGTGCGATTGGGAAGTGGCCTGGAGTGGGTTTAAAGTGGAGAAGCTAAGGAAACAAATAGCTCAAGCAGCTGAAATTCTCATCACTCACCTCCACCCATGTGAACCAATACACACCTACATTGTTACCAATGTAGGCTACATATAGTCATGTATATTCCCTAACTTTTTTTCTAGCTTTGTCCTCCTTGTTCGTAGCTGTTCATGTCCATTTATGTGTAAGTAGGCTACATAGAGTACATTAAGAAAAATCTGTCAGACCTCCTTGGTTGTGCATAAAAGCTGATGAAAATGAAAGTAGATTTCAACAAAGGGACCTTGTCCATGACAGGTACTCAAGATCAGGTAACCTTAACCATCTCAAGGTCCTTGTGATCATGGTATTGTTTATGGCGCTTTCAGGACGCCTGAGAATTAATCATTTATCTCAGTTTATAAATCCTGACACTGTGGTCATTCATAGCTGAGTTTTAATGGGGGATTAGTCAACACGATGCACTAGATCAGGGGTGCCCAACCAGTCGATCGCGATCGACCGGTCGATCGCGGGGAGATTCCCAGTCGATCGCGATATGTGTCTAAAAATAGAACAACAATATTCTGTTTTATCGTTAATGTCCTGTAACATAATCTTCCTGTGCCAGAATAATGCACTTGAACGCATCAAAGCTTTGTGATTGGCCGGCGTGACCCCATGTGTCGGGGCGTGGCTGGTGGGCAGTGGGCACTATTTCGCTGACATTGTCCGTGTCAACAGGAGTGACAGTCCGCACACACACACAAGACCGCAATTATGGCAGAAGCAAAAAAGCCCAACATATATAATTTTCACTCCGAGTGAGAGGATGATTATTTTTGTATCTATTCCAATTCAAAGTCCATCTGTCTCATCTGCAATGCGAGCGTGGCTTTATCGAAGAAGGGTAATTTAGGAGCGGCATTTCAAAACAGTGCACAAACGCTACGAGACGGAATTCCCTCCTAATTCTGCCCTACGCTCCAAAAGGGGAGGGGCCTGAAAGGACAGCTAAATGCACAGCAGTCCATTTTCACCAGGCCCAACAACAAGAGCAAGGCTGCTACCATAGCATCTTATCGTGTCAGTCACGTTCTTGCGAAACACATGAAGTCTTTCCAGGCTGAAATGACTGAGGGGGCTGTTCAAAAATCCTAGGGGGCGACTTTTTTTTCACAACAACGAAAAATGCTGGCAATGTAATGAATTGACACACCAAGTTTTTTTCATTCTCACTGCTCTACAATCTCTTTGCTTCTTTATTTGTATTCCGGATTGACCCCTCTCATTCTGTTCTTTTCCTCTGATCTTTAATAATAGATAGTACATTATTAGATGCCTGCACTTTGTTAGTCACGTTAACAGACTAACATTGATTTCCTCAATTTATAAATGGACAGGCTCTGTAATTATACCATAACCTTTTCTCCTCTATCCCTTAACTCGTCTTCCTATACAGATTTATTTACTTACTATCTACTCTAGTCATGTCAGGATTAAAGACAAATTAATCTGGTTGATTTTTTATTTTCAGGATTGAATGTTCAAACCAAGACCTAAAACCTGGCATTCCATAAGAAAGTGACTAATATATAAACCAAATGTAATATTGGATCAAATACTGCACCAAATGGACAGACACAGATTAAAAATCCGTCACTAGATGTCGCTCATTGTACCAATACGGTTTATATAATAATAACATATTATTATTATAGTAAAAGGGCTCGCTTTGGCAAAAACCTGATCCATACAGGCAGCCCTAAATAATAACAGGTAAGCATCATGTGTGGTGCTATCTGTAGTTGTCTTATTTTTTGTCGATTTCATCTCGTTTTCACAGAGCTGTGGAAATGAATTTCTCCCTATGGGCAATAAATCTAATTTAATATTCAATCGCACACTTGGCGATTGAGAACATACATTCGTAATTTACCTCGTTTAAATCACTTTTGTTCTAATACTATGGATTTAGTTGACACTACTAGCCGACTTTCTTTTGTCCAATATTTTGCGGGAAGGTACATTGAATTAGAAGCTTCTTATTATACATCCATGGGTAGAAGAAGAAGAAGTAGAGGTAGAAGAAGAAGAAGAAGTAGAGGTAGAAGAAGAAGAAGTAGAGGTAGAAGAAGAAGAAGTAGAGGTAGAAGAAGAAGAAGTAGAGGTAGAAGAAGAAGAAGTAGAGGTAGAAGAAGAAGAAGTAGAAGAAGTATTAGAAAAAGAAATACACTAACGCTACAAACAGGCACAACACTGTTACTCTGTTTTTACTGACATGTAACATTTTATTTCACCTTGCTCTATGTTTTTTAACGCACATTCCGAAAATGGGGACTTTGCCCGGAAAACAGGGACGTTTTGGTCCCCCATCCGACTGTGTTTACAGCTAAGCACACATGCTAACATTAATTAAGACTACAAGCTCACTTGGGGTTGAGGCTTGTTTACACGTTGCTTGACTGCCTGCCCACATATCTGATCTAAACATAGTAACGTGTGTTGGGGAAAATAATTATTTAAAGTTATTTAATAATTGTGACATTTATTTAACTTTTCGATGGCTGAATGATGCTCAAAGTGAGGGGGCAAATAAAACAACTTCGGGGCAATGCCCCCTTTTGCCCCCTCGTGGCGCCAGGCCCGAGTCTTTCAAAGACGGCGAAGTTGTGAAAGAAGCTTTCCTGGAGGCTGCCGACGCGCTTTTTGGGGACAGTAAAAATAACAGTAGCATTTCAACAGGTTTTTGATATAATAAAAACTCAAGTTAGATACCGTTATTAATCAGCTGTAAGTTTTTGTTTGTTTGAACTTATTCATTATAATTATTGTACAAAATGGTATAAGATAAAGATAAAGGTTATAGTCTATTATCAATTCAGGTTAAGTTAAGAAACTAGTGTTGCTTGCATCCTATTTTAAAAGGCATTTATTTTTATGCTCTACTAAATGCAACAAAAAAAGGGTTTGATTCTATTAATTTTGTCTTTTTTATTGCACTTTGGCAGCAGATTCCTGTAGCTTCAGATCTGAGTTGTCTTATTAGTAAGCCTAATTTATACTTTTGTAGCAACACTACTCAGTTTTACACAAGTAGAAGTGTGTATTTACCTGGTAGTAGGCTGTCAGTAATGGCTACGCCTGGACGCTTGGACTGGTAGATCTCGGCAGACTGGCAACTTTAAAAGTAGCTCTCGGTTCAAAAAAGGTTGGGCACTCCTGCACTAGATGGTGGTGTTTTGTAACCGGTTTGGTCACTTTGGGTGTTTCTATTTGAACCACTAGAGGAGCTCTTACGCGTTCGTCAGAGATTGTGTGGGGACATCGATGTGAACGAGCCGAGGTTTTTCCACTTGAATGTAACAGCTAGCGTGATGAGGCTAAGCTAGCTGTCAGCCAGGCATCCACGGGTTTTGCTGCCGAGTTAGCTTCCGGATGCTCCCGGTCGTATCCTACTGGCCGTCTTGACATTCCCTCAACATTGCTGGACGAATTCGTGTCGACTGACCAGAGTCCGCGAATTCAGGTCCATCCCCGATCTAACCTTTCCCCGCTTGCGTCACTTAGCTTGCCGGCTAACCGAGAACCGAACTGACGAGGTGAGTTAGCAAGCGGGCTAGCGGAATGTACGGCTAACAGTGTAGCAGCTATCATTGGCAGTGAAGGCATCTCCTCCGAGGAAAAACCGGGGTCTGACATAGTAAAGAGGGGCCGTCTGGGCACAGTGTGGAGAGTAACACGTCTATATATTTCTCAAGATGACCAATATGGCTGAAAGGCCTGTTTAACACCGGTGAACTGTAAGCTAGCAATGTTGATTAACTAGTTATGTGTTGCTGTTAACGATTTCTAATAAGACAATTGTAAAACGATATTAACTTGGCTAGTCAACCCAATTCCACAAAAGTGTTTCACTGTGGTGAACGCAAGCTGTCCAACTTTAGCTTAGTAATATTATTTTGGCTAACATTGGCTAGTTCAAGCAGCCTTTTAATGTTTGCCTTTTATCAGTGGGTTTAGCTAACGTCAGTGCTCCCAGGCTAACAATCTAATTAACGTTGCAATAAAGTGAACGGATTTTGAAATGTATTCCATCTTTTTATATACGCTGTCATGTGTGGAGCTGTAAAGCCGGTAGAGGCAAAGTTCAGTTCAGCTGTTTTCTCTGGGTGTGTTTTGTCGCTCGTCGCTAAACTAAGTTTTGCTGTGTGACTTCGCAGAGCTCCACTTAAGGACCACACCCAGACAAGATGTCCCTTCATCAGTTTCTGTTGGAACCCATCACCTGCCACGCGTGGAACAGCGACAGGACACGTAAGGCTGAAACCTTTACTGATCTGAGTGTATCACTACCAAGCTCTGTACGAGAAGATGTACTGTTCGTTACTTTAGTCTATTCTCTTCTATAGCTCCTTAAATCAAAGCCAGTGCATTCAAATATTAACATCAAGTAGATCCCTGCATAAATGTTTCTTTAAAAGCTGACACTATTGATGATTCACTTTAATGTTGCCCTCTGATATTAATATTAAGCTGCTGTTTACTTAAAATGATATCAGTCTGAGTTGTGTGATGGACATATTGGATGCAAATATTTTAGATTCTTTAATCTTGGGATTTTCTTTGGAGATATATCGCATTTTACTAACAATTTCTCCATTGTTTATTCTTTGTGATCAGTTGTGTTGTAGTTTTATTTTAAACCATTAGTTGAATTATATCCTTCATTTGGATTGATTGATTTGTATATTAAAAACAAATGATTATACCTATCATATATTTATTTGCCAACAGGAGTGCAACTTCGGTCACAAAAACACATTTATTTCAAGCTTTTGTTTTTCGTATTTATAAACTCTTACAACATGTATTCCAGCTAGCTATGGCAGATACCAGAAACTGGTCCAACTTGTTTGTTATCTGTGTGTTCATCCTAGTAACCTGCTGGTTTTATCTTTAACTCTGTAGAAATTGCCATCAGTCCAAACAACCATGAAGTCCATATCTACAAGAAGAGCGGTAACCAGTGGGTTAAGACCCATGAACTGAAGGAGCATAATGGACACATAACAGGTATTTAAAGAGGCTGCATAATACTTATTTGTATCTATGACTAACCCACAAACATGCAAAACAAATGTGTCTGGTAATGTAATTGAAACAGTTTGCAAACATGTCTCATTCTGTATAATAGCTCTGGTGCTGTCATTATACACTGTATTAGTCAGCGAGGCATTACATAATCTCTCTCTTTTGTGTTGTAGGAATTGACTGGGCTCCCAAAAGTGACCGTATAGTGACATGTGGAGCAGACCGTAATGCCTATGTGTGGTCGCAGAAGGAGGGCGTATGGAAGCCCACCCTGGTCATCCTCAGGATCAACCGAGCTGCCACCTTCGTCAAGTGGTCTCCACTGGAGAACAAGTTTGCCGTTGGAAGTGGTGCTCGACTCATCTCTGTCTGCTACTTCGAGTCTGAGAACGACTGGTGAGAATATTGGTCCAATTATTACAATTAGCTGAAATGTATCTGTTTTTAAAATTGGATAAATCTTAGAGGCAAGGTTTTAGTCAAATGATTATTTCCAATTGTTTTGCTGATGTGTTAATGGGATTATAAATGTGTTTCTTTTATACTGTTGGTGTGTTGTCCCTTTTTCTCATTTCAGTATTGCATAAGACGGTGTTACTTTGACATTTATTTCTGGCCTTTTGTGAAAAAGTCTCAACTCATTCACCATTAATGTGTTCCTTTGGGACACAGCAGCAGCCAGAGGCAGATGGTGCACTAAATGTGTCACCTGGATTGTCATTTTTGGCTTTGAGTCCGTCTTTTCTGTGTTGCTTTGCTCATTGATTCAGTTTTTCTGAATTGTATAAGTGACCCCATCTGTCACGACCACTGGATGTCTGGTCTTTTAATTGTCAGCAGACAAGATAACAAAGGTTTTAGTTTAACTGAACTACACCCACAACTTGTATCTGTTTCCCTTTTTAATATCAGATTAAATGATCATTGCATTTTAACATGAATATACGTTACAAGTTCTGACGTTTTTCACAAAAAACATCAAATCTGTGCTTTTTCACATCATTTAGGTGGGTGAGCAAGCACATCAAGAAGCCAGTCCGCTCCACCATCCTCAGCCTGGACTGGCATCCCAACAACATCCTGCTGGCGGCTGGATCCTGTGACTTTAAATGCAGGTGAGGGCTGTTAACATTGAAAATTGTCAAATGAAATGAGATAGAGGATTGTATGACAGAAAACCTGGCCAGGCTCTTCCTTTGCTCCTTTTGATTCCTGTCTATGTGCTTCTCTCCTCCCCCCCCCCCCTCCCTCTCCGGCCTCCAGGGTGTTCTCAGCCTACATTAAGGAGGTTGAGGAGAAACCAGGCCCCACACCCTGGGGCAGCAAGATGCCATTTGGGGCTGTGCTAGCAGAGTTCGGAGGAGCAGGTCTGTATCTTTGTCTTCAGATGTGTTGATAAAAAATCTCTTTCATATGAGTTGCAGTAACCTGAACTAAACCGGATCTGCCCTTTTCTCCACTTTGTGCCTGTTAGGTGGAGGGGGTTGGGTCCACTCAGTCTCTTTCTCAGCCTCTGGTAACCGACTGGCCTGGGTCAGCCATGACAGCACCGTCACTGTGGTGGACAGCTCTAAGACTGCCAGGTATTTTCATTTCTACCCAAATAGCATTCTTGTTTATGATTGTAACCAGTAGGGATCGACCGATATGGCTTTTTCAAGGCCGATACCGATTATTAGTAATCAAGGAGACTGATAACCGATATACATTTGCAGTAAAATCAGAAAATCTTTGTGTCAAAATGTAGAATAACACAAACTCCAACACAACTTCTTTGAAATGCATTTAAGCCTATATTATGTTTAATTAACTTTTAAACATCTTACAACTGGTTTCCTCTCTGTGCCCTTTTCTTTAGTGCAGCCATCTGCAATGAGTTAGAGAGAGAGACAAGAAGTGGGGCTGCAGGCTGACATGCTTAACTAACAATAATGCTTAATTTATTATATCTGTCTATCTAGCATACAATCCCAATAAGCTGCTAGCAACTGCAAAACACTAGTGCTAGCTAATGTTTTGCAAACTATTAAAAGTGAGGCTATTACAGTAGACCTAACGTTAGTCTCGTAGCCTCACTTCTAATATTTTGCTAAACATTTGCTAGATACATGTTGGCTAGCTAATGAGCTTCACATATCAACCTGAAAAACGGCAAGGCTCCACTCGCAGCCCCCCCCCCCCCCCTCCGCACCACAGTTACTCCGCTACGAGACGCTGCACGCACCCCCAACTCTGACTGACTTCCCGCGTCCCTGTGTAACTGGGAAACTGATAGAATTGGATCATAAGATCGTGGTGTTTTTGCAACTTCAGCATAGGGGATAGGGATGTTTATTGAACTTCGGTTTAACACATGTATGGCTCTGCCGCTCAGCGCTGCTGCTTGCTTCAGTCTGTGTCTGTGTCTGCGTTCTTTTGCACCTGCCTGTAATCTGAGAAGGTCCCGCCTCTCTGGCTGGCTCCTGCCCGGAAAATCTTCAGTAATAGCCTATCAGATAGCGCTGTGGGCGGGACATTGCTCGTGTACACAGAGTGGTGACTGCAGCCAGAGAAACGGCCGCATCAGAGCCAAAGTTTTATCGGCAATTTGATACAAAAAAAGGCCGATACCGATAATCGGTCAAATGCGGAATATCGGCCCCTACGGCCCCTAGTAACCAGCAGGTTTCTCAGATTAAACATGCCCTGTGGAGTAAACAAACAAATGTGATGTTTACATTCGCTGTTACCCACCAAAACGCCTCTAGGCCAAACAAATCTGTTTTCTCAATTTCCTGTCTCAAAATATATTTGCAAAGTTAGGATAGACATGAGGGAGGACTGTGAAGTTTAAGCTACTAATGCTTTAAGGTTTTAGAATTGACCTAGTATCTTTTTGTTTTTACTGCATCTGCAAACGAGAAAGACGACACAATTATAATGTCCAAAAAGTTACTAACTCATCCGTTTTGAATCGAAATATTATTTAAAAAAAACATTAACTAGTTATTTATTTGACGACATGTTGGTGTCTTCTCTTTTTTCGTCACGCCACCATTTGTAATCGGATCATCTACTCACATTGCCAACAGGGCGAGAAAGATAAACAACCAAATTGCAGGTGTTATGAATTGAGATGAACAGGCTCGGTCTAGACCAGTGCTTCTCAAAGTGTGGTCCGCGGACCACTGGTGGTCCGTGAGCGCCCCCTAGTGGTCCGTGAGTATATTGGTAAAATTTCACATTTTAAATAAATACATTAATTAAAGTTTTCCGCACTCTCGCGGGAATATCTCCGCAATGGAACGAGCTTAAGTTTCACTTTCGATTGCATGATATAGCCCAGATAAACACCTTCATCACACATGTTGCCACTTGTTTGTACCATTTTCAGGCGATTTGTAAAACACGATGTGTTTTTGGATATTTGTGGAGTTAGGTGGTCCGCGAGTGTTTTTTTATTGGTTAAGTGGTCCTTGGTATGAAAAAGTTTGAGAAACACTGCTCTAGACAACCTGAAAACGCTACAGTGAACACAGCCCAGGTTTTTGAACACAAAACTGTCATTTCTGGGATAACACACCTCTTTTGAAAAAGTTTGTGCTCCGAGATATGTGTGTTGTTTACTGATTGAAACGACATTAAAGAATCTAACAAAAACACAGATATTTAAAAAATAAATAGATCAAATCAATGTTTTACAGGAACATACAGGAATGAAGAAATATATTTAACAGAAAAATGCCTTTTTAAACAAGATGAATTAGCAAATAGAGTTTTTGTAAATTCCGTTTAATCCAGGCTAGCCGTTAGGAAGATTAAGCAAACTGTGGTTTATGTGATCAAAAAAAGTGTACCAAATGTTTAATCCCTGATACATTAAAACCAGTTGTTCTCAAGCTGATCATTCCTTTGTGTGTTCAGTCCTTCACAGCTGAAGACGGAGTTGCTTCCTCTCCTCAGTGTCATGTTTGTTTCAGAGAACAGTCTAGTAGCTGCGGTAAGATTAAACGACACATTTCATATTTCCATGCACAAATAAACAGTCATCAAGGATAATGATTTGAAATGAATGTCTGCGTGTTCAGGGCCACGACTGTTGCCCCATGCTGTTCCGTTGCGACGATGGTGGAGTGCTGACATTTGTGTCAAAGCTCGACCTCCCGAAGCAGAGCATCCAGAGGAACATCTCCGCCATGGAGCGCTTCAGGAACATGGACAAGAGAGCCACCACCGAGGACCGCAACACTGCGCTGGACACACTGCACCAGAACAGCATCACGTGAGTCACAGTCACCCGAGACGATGCAGGGTGTGGAATTTATCATAGGACAAAAAACTGTTTTCATTTCATGTTTAGATTTTGTGTTTTTATAGTTTTGGTTTTCAGAGTTTACGCAATTTACCAAATGTTGTTGTTGTTGTTGGCATTAAAACAACTGGAAGGGTTTTGAATGTTTCCAATTTTCAATAATTCAAATATGGAGTCTCCACTGAGAGGAGTTTGTAAGACTTGTTTCCTTAATGAGTGTCAACTACACATAAGAATCACCTCTCTGTATAACGCAGTACAAGTCACCACGATTGAGGGTTTATTGAGGACTGCTGTATTGTATTACTTTTAGCTTAGTGTGTCAAATAAACCTGTTACTGATGTTATTTTAATACCTTAAATAGATGTGGTGTTATGTAACAAAGGTATTGGCTGGAGTAGATGCTATTGGAAGCTCAGTGGATCTCTATATCCAATATTTTAATATTATTCATTTTCACAGCCACCTATTAATGACTCTTAAAGGTGGGGTAGGTAATTCTCTTCAGAAACACTTTTTGTTATATTCCTTGGAATGCTCTTAACATCCCGATAGCAATGAATACATTAAATGCTTTGACAATAAATACATTAAAAAATATCATCTGTGGAAGCCGTGGTACTGTAAAAAGCACGACCAATCATTTTAGCCGGCCCGTCTAAAGTAACTGGATGGCCTACCTGCCTGTCAGCCTTCCATCGGTGCACAAATGTATCTCGTGCCCTCATTGGTCATGTGCGCGTTCGTGTGTGTTGGAGGAGGGGCTCTGTAAGGAAGTCTGAAGGAAGGGGCAGATTTTTTCCGGTTGTGTACTTTCAAATTCTAGCGCACTCGAGCTGGTTTCTCCATTCTTACCTACCCTACCTTTTAAGTAACCGTTTGTTTAGGAGTTTGCAACTTACCTTCCTTAACTTAAGCAGATGACTATTTGCTCTAAAATTGTTGTAATGTGCAATCATAAGCTTTTACCCAATTGAAAAATAAAAACATGTTGTAGTTTTATGGCTGATTTTAGCCATAGCGCCCAATCTCATATCTTTATGAGAGGTCCATTGAGGATCCATTTAGGATCAGTACCGTTAAAGTTGTCAGGGCAGTATAATAAAATCCATAATCATTTGCTGTATGTTATCATTTCAGTTCAGTTTCTCATTTTTGTAAAGCACTTTAACTTGCCTTGTGTTGAAGGGTGCTATATAAATAAACATTCCTTGCCTTTACTCCCATTAAACTGTCTTTTATGTATTTCCATGTCTGGTCCATAGCCAAGTGTCTATCTATGAAGGAGACAAAAAGGATTGTCGCAAGTTCTGCACCACAGGTATCGATGGGGCAATGACCATTTGGGACTTCAAGGTATACACACACAAATCGCCTCTACACAGATCATTACTCTGAGATCTCCTGGCTCTAACTTCCTTGTGGGTTTTTGTTTTCCTCCTCAGAGTCTAGAAGCATCTATCCAGGGTCTCCGCATCATGTGAAGAAGCCTTGTAAATGAATGAAGAAAATGCAGCAGGCCTCACCCCCCCCCCCCGCGCCGCTCCTGCGACACAGCCAGTAACACAAATAACTGACCCCCTAATCGAGTGTCTGCTAAAGCACTGATCAGAACACAACACACTTTTTTGGGTGTGCCAACACTCTCACGCACACACACTTAAGTACACACACACATACACTACACACACACTGAGCTGACGTGTGACATCACTGTTGATTTTTTTGTTTGTTTGTTTTTAAATGAAGGTTAACCAAGTGTCAAAGTGGGAAGGTCCCCTGACACGTATTCAAACGTGAAGTGAAATGTGTGTTTTTATGTTCTCTAACCTCCTGTACCAAAAGTTGACACTAAAAGGTGCGTTTTATCCAAAAGTCAGACTGCATTTAACCTCAGATCAACCTCAACGTGATCTCTGAACATCAATGTTTAGTAGAACGGAGGACGTGATGATTTGCTTCCTGGAGGAGAGTAAATATTCTCCAGCAGGTGAAGTCATTGTTTAGATTAGGACCCGGGTTATTGATGTTCTGAGGTCACGTTGCAGGTTGGCTGTAGAGATGTGCAGCGTCTGACGGTGGAGAGAGAAAGCAGCTGTCTAAACTCTGTGCGGAGTCACGGCCGAACAGCACTTTGCTCTGTGGCTACTTCACTAAAACCACACAAGATGGAGGATTTCTATGTAACTGATCATGAGGTAGACATGAAATAAAGATGAAGTCAATTTACAGAACTCAACTCACTCGACTCTTCCTTTGTCTTTTCTCTCAGACTAGATGCCTTTAGGGATCTTCTATACTAGTTGGTTGTGTTTGTTCTTACATTTTACTCCATATTTGTTCTTGTTTGCTAGAAAACTATTTATTAACACGGGGACAACTTTGAATATCAGTTTTTATAATTGGTAACTTTGAGATTCAGATTTTCAAATAGGAGGTTTTAGTTCCTGAAACATTAGATAAAAAGCCATGTGTACCATGCACCTTTATTGACCTAATTGTGTTCTGTTAGCAGTGGATTTGTCATACATTTGGGTTGTTTTCCCCAGAGTTCCCATAGGAACTGATTATGAATGCGTCTGTCTCTTTATACAGAATGGTCCACTGTGCTTATAGTACCCAAATAAAAAAAATAGGCATTGTAGAAAAACATGCCATCATTTAGTTTTAACCTTTTTTTAGTTTTAACTTAAAAGTTTTGGGGGGGTTTTGTTTATAAAGCATGAAAAGTTGAAGTTGGGAACTGCCATGATTAGGGAACTATGTTATAACTCAAAATGCATGAAGAAACAGGAGAAAATATATTCTAGTCAACCTTTTCTCCTGTCGCCACTGTTTCCTCCCCCTGTCTGCAGTTTACTTGTCTTCCCTCCCCTTCTACTTGTTCCTCTTTCTTTATGCAGAAATGACCATAAGTCCCTCCCCCTTCTTTTTCGTGTCTTTCATGCTTTTTTTCCCTTTTCAGTTTCTACTTCCTCCTTTTTGTAGAACATTGTATTGTGTTCATGCCCCTCCCTGTCGTCCTAGTTTCACTGGAACTAAAACTCCTCTTTTCTCTTTTTGTATCAGTTAAAAATGAAAAGTTAGCTTACATTTTTGAACTGTTACACCCATGATCTTTTCTACCTCGATCATAAGCCTGCACAAACTTCCTGTATGTCTCTACTTCAGAGCTTCACTGTACCCTCCTCCACTTCCCCCTCTGACCTCTCCTCCCTCTTCTGCTCTGCTTCTTTCTTCCTGAGCTCACTCTGTCGTTGGCGTTTGCGTTGACTGGCCAGAGTCCGCGAGCTGAGCACCCTCATCTTTGTTTGATCCGCCACCTCTCTCTGCCTCTCCCTTCTCTCTCTCTCTCTCCATCACAGCAGCTATTCACCCATTAATCTCGCTCCAGATCTAAGGGTAAGTAGCCTAGAAACTATTTAACAGTTGACTGAGTATGTTTAGACATGTCAGTAACACACACACACACACACACACACACACACACACACACACACATATTCACACTGAGTCTAATGCCTTTTAAAGGGAAAAGCTAAAAGTATGCAACAGGCACTCTAACCCACCCACACTCAATAAGGAAATATAAATGTGGGTGTCATTGTGTAGAGGTTGTCTTTGATTAGGGCAAGTAAAGTTGTAACGGCTCTCATGGAGCTGTGTGTATTCATTTCCTGGGTGTGTTTGCTTGCTGTAAAGTGTTTGTTTTGGGGCTGTGTGTTACCCTTGACCTGCATCATTCCTATCATGCCTCTGAGAGTCTGGATTTCATTAACCCAACCTGAGCGAGATAAGTTCAGTGTTGTTTTCTACAGAGGGTTAAAGATCAGCTGATGTTATTTTACTTCTCAAAGCACCTTAAATAGTCTGAACCAACTTTGTCTGTATCTTGATGAGTATTTGTGTAAATGTCCCTAATTGTGTGGGTTTTTCTCCTTACCACTTCTTTGTTTTAACAAAAACTTCTGTTTTTCTAGACTTGACTGTTATCTCCGAGCCACTGGTTCCTCAGACCCCTTCCTGGTTTGTTTCTAACATCTGATTGGCGATGGCGTACCACAGTTTCCTGCTGGAACCAATTAGCTGCCATGCCTGGAACAAAGATCGTACCCGTAAGTCTGCTCGCCGTCTCTGATTGGTCACTGGGGTTTTTATTTCAGTGAGTCTTCTCCTCTCTGAACTGCTCACAGCTTTAATCACAGACATCATGGAACATCTTGCTTCAACTACATTCTGTGCCAAAGAACAAGAAGTGTAAGAGTCAAAGGGCTGTGATTGGCTCCCAGGTGGGAGAAGGTATTTCCTGTTTCCTGTAACAGTAACGGTGGTGCCTGCTGGCCTTTCTGAGAGGCTCTTGTGCTCTGTTAGCTGCAGGAAACTAATGCCTTATTTGGCTGTTTTGATCAGAGCTTTGGTTTCTGGGCAAAGCGGATGTTACAGACGAATGTGGTCGAGTCATATGCAGATGTAGTTTCACTCTACTTGTGAGCTGCACATTTAAGTTTGCTCAGCTTGCAGGCGGAACACTCGAAAAAGCCAAAAATGCACACTAAAGCACCCACACTGCTGCTCTTGGACAAACACTGCCTCTGACTCATCTGCTGACTAAAACATGTGCAGGGTTTGCTACATTATTGTGTGGGGAAGGTTACAGTTCTCACACATTGTCTATTTAAAGATACCATGTGCCTGTGTGCTGCCTTCAGGCAGATACATATTGTATCTCTCTAGTTTTCTCTTTTCTCGTGCATCCTGTCAGCTGTTTGGTGTTCCACTCCACTGATCAGCCTCTCAAACTTCTCTCGTCAATCACTCTCTACTCACACTGATGAATTTCCCTTTACTGTGTAACACTGATTTGCAGAACTTTCTCTGTTGAAGTTCATTGTACTTAAATATATGTTTGTGCTATAGAAATCGCCTTGTGCCCTAACAACCACGAGGTCCACATCTACAAGAAGGATGGGACCCAGTGGAACAGGATCCATGAGCTGAAGGAGCACAATGGGCAGGTGACAGGTGAGACACAATCACAAATACATTTTCCACAAAGAGACGTTCAGATAAACACACCAAACTTTGTAAAATGATTTGATATATGAATAGCTCAATAAATAAATAACCTTTTCCATGCATAGTGCTGCATTTCCTGTACACGTTCAGTGACATCTAATAAATAAATTGGACTATTTAAACAACAATAGATCGACATTTTGGAAAAACAGGCATGCTCAAAAACATTGGTACTTAGGATACAAGAAGCGATTACTGGCTTTTTGCTCCTTTAGCTTAAGCAATATCGCTTTCTTGAGTGAAAGGCGACCTAGTGCCCCAAGTATAATCATTGGACTGGATATGTTGTCAGGCCTTTAACCAAAGATGCCTACAGTAAGAGAGAGCAACCGTCTCGTACAACTTGAAGCAGATTTAAAGCAAATAAGCATATTTCACACAATTTTGAACTAGTCCTTTAATTATAAATCATAAAACATGCACAGAGATAAGATGACAATAAAAACGTCTTTCTCCTGCAGGTATCGACTGGGCCACAGAGAGTAACCGTATAGTTACTTGCGGAGCAGACCGTAACGCTTATGTGTGGACCCTGAAAGAGGGCACATGGAAGCCCACCCTGGTCATCCTCAGGATCAACCGCGCTGCCCGCTGTGTGAAGTGGTCTCCAAAAGAGAACAAGTTTGCTGTAGGCAGCGGCTCACGCCTGATCTCCATCTGCTACTTCGAGCAGGAAAATGACTGGTGAGGTTTTACAGGATAGCTCATTGCCACTTATTTATATGGTAGGCTGCATTTAATTAATATGAACCACACGCTTGTTGTTGTTATTTATAGGTGGGTGTGTAAGCACATCAAGAAGCCTATCCGCTCCACCATCCTCAGCCTGGACTGGCATCCCAACAACGTCCTGCTGGCGGCTGGATGCTGCGACTTCAAATGCAGGTATCAGTGAATCAAATATCTGTCAATACACTTCTGAGGACATTTCAAAGACTACATACGTATATAACGAATAACTCTGGTTGAGCATATATTGATCTCTTATTTATATCATGATATGAGACTTGATATCGTTTAAGATTTTGGATATTGTTATTTAATAAGTGTAATAACTTCTTAGGCATTTAGCTTTTTTCCCCCCTATTATTTTATTTTTAAGTCTACCTTTTCTGCTCATCCAACTCTTGATTGGAGGCGCAGACATCCATAGTTTTGTCTTTTTGCTTCCCTTCCTCTTCTTTGAATCGTATGCACACCCTCACCCCTCTTGCCCTCGCCCACAGGGTGTTTTCAGCCTACATCAAAGAGGTGGAGGAGAAGCCCGGCCCCACTCCCTGGGGCAGCAAGATGCCGTTCGGAGAGATGTTGTTTGAGTCTAGCGAGTCTGGAGAAGCCGGTCAGACCGTGGCTGGAGCCGGAGGATGGGTGCACGGTGTGTGTTTCTCACACTCCGGCAACCGTCTGGCCTGGACCTCGCACGACTCCACTGTGTCTGTCGCTGAGGGAGGCAAGACCAGCACGTAAGAGAGGGCGGGGCTACATACCTCTGTGTCTGTCTTTATGAGTGTGTGTCTGTGTGTTATTCTATAGGTGTGCACTCTGACCTTTGTTATGCCTCCACAGGGTGAACAGTCTGAGGTCTGAGACTCTTCCTCTGCTGTGTGTCACCTTCATCACTGAGAACAGCATAGTAGCAGCTGTGAGTATACAGTAAATATCTAATATCTTCTGAAAAAATTCAAATGTTAATCAGTTTTTATTTTATTTTACTCACATTTAGTTATTTTCCTGACTAACCTATTGTTGAACTGCACCATTTTAAAATATCCATTCAACAAGGGAAATAATGATTTACAATTACTAATACTTTTGGACTTTTTCAAATCATATCTATTGGCAAAGGTCCCTTTTTTAGAAAATAGTACTTTGAAGCAAGACCACGTCGCTTCATAATGCCCAGTATTGTACTTATCTTTTTATATAAAATAATTAACATGGTTTATCTGTTACATGCTTAAATGTAGTGTTACCGTAACAACATTCTGTGAACAGAGCAGTGATGTCAGTTATACAGCAGCATTATATATCCAATTGATGATAACTAAGACTAGCTATCCACCACAAGCTAATGGTCATTCATACCATGTCAAGTAAGTCATTAGCAAGAGTACCTCTGAGTGTATTGAATTAGGCAAAATAAAATCCACTTATTGTGATTGC